CTTACAGGTTGAGTAGGACTTGATCATCTTGATCAGGTGAGTAGGTTTCATCTGCACCAGTTGTAGCTGGTACAGAAGGCGTGCCAGGCAGAGAGGACAGCCTGAGCAAAGACATAGGCAGCAGATTGTTGGAGAAAGAGCCAAGCCATCAGGAGCTGAGTGGGCTGTGAGGTGGGTGAGGAAGAGCAAGGTGGCTGGTCTTTCTTGGGGGCCAAGCCATACAGACAGGAAAAGCTTTCTTTTCTTCCAGCCACAGCCTCCAGACCTGCTCTGTGGTGTCTCTGCTCCCTATCTGTTGACAGTACCTCCGGCAAAGCTCAAAATATCTCATTTGGTAGTTAAAAAGTCCAGTTGAATCCAGACTTCATTCTCACATCAAATTCAAAGGCTCTTCCTGTGGGGCCCCACTGCTGGCCTGAGACCTGCATTGGGAAGAAGATGCAGGCAATGCTTCCACTCCTCCTCCACCTTCTTCCCCCTTCTTCCTCTTTTGGGCGTTCCTTCCTTCTCTCCATCAGGGAATTGGGGTCCTGTCGGAAGGATGGGAAGAAAAGGAAAAGTTCTTAAGAATGTGATCCTAGCAACACTGTCCACAGAGCAGGTGCCCACCCGATGGCTCTCATTAGGGCACAGAGTGGTCTCCAGGAGGCCCCACGGGGAACATCACGCCACACAGTAACCAGGTACGGGCAATGTGTGCTCTGTTGAGCTCAAGTTTAATACGATATCAACCTCTGCTTGACCCCTTAGTCGCTGACCACAGTAGTTCAACCCGCAGTCTCTTACTGCTGGGGTCCCCTGGCCTTGACAGGCCATTGCCTTGGGGTTGGTACCTTCAGGATATTCTATGCATGACTTCCTTCCAGGGTGTTCACTTGGCCCACAGAAAATGCCACATCCTGACCAGACCAAGTGTGGGGGTGGGGCATGCACTGCTGCCCTCTCTCCCTGCCCCACTATTGCCCTCAAGATGGACTCCTGTCTTCAGAGTTCTCTAGTCAAAAGGAAGGCATTACTCTCTTTGTTCACAAGTATTCCCGGCCCTTCCAAGCACTCCCTCATTCCCATCAGGATAGCTCTGTGCTGCAGCCGCTGAGCAAGCATCCAGCCAGGAGTGAGCTACCAGCCCCCGTTCTTGTAGGGACCCACATCCAGTCTCAATAAGGGGTTCTTTTATGGCCCTCTCATTTGGCTTGGATATGGGGGCCCTCTCTCCTCCTGGGCTCCCTGGAGGGGTCGGGTAAAGCCACAGCACTGCTCCCAAATACTCCTTATTCTCAGGAACTTTCTTCTTAAATTTAACTCATCTATGAATATAGGCTCAAGAAGAAGTACAAGGTAAAAGGCACAGAATCAGCTCATTTATCTTAATCAGCTCTGCGTGGATGTATCTAGTTGTTCCTCTTTATAATGTGAGGGGACCTCCTGGCCTCACTTTGGGGCTTTAGCCAAAATTCCAGCGCTATAGGAAATCTCATTTGATTTTCTGTTCCATTAGTGGTACTTTATAGCAGAGTTTCTCAGTCTCAGCACTGTTGCCATTTTGGGCCGACACTTTTTTGTTGTGGGAGGCTGTCCTGTGCATTGTAAATGTTTAGCAGCATCCTTGGCCTTTACTCAGTAGATCCCCTCTGTTGTGACAATCTCTTCAGACATTGCTAATCTTCTGGGGGTTGGGGGACACAGAGCAAAATTACCCCCTGGTGAGAAACACTGCTTAATAGACAAAAGGAAGTCATTGAAAGCTTTTGAGCAAGGAAGTAACACAAAATGAGAATCAAATATCATTGGGTTGGTTTCACTGAATGTTATGAACAGGAATGGTCAAGGCCAAAAAATGTTTGCTGTGCAAATGACATCTTTTTAATAATCTCTAATTGTGTATGAAGTGCTGTCATAACATTTTCTCACTAATTTCCACACCAAGCCATCTGAGGAAAGTGAGGGACCATATTTCACTAATGAAGTGCAGATATGGAGGTTGGAGGCTAATGTGTGGAGAGCTATTGGGCTGAAGAAAAAGGTGTGGAGGAGAGAAGTTACGTGTGAGGAAGGGGCTTTCCATGGGGTCTGGACTTTCCTTTTCAGGACATGAACCCTGTAGAAAATATTTGGATAAATAATAGTAGACGCTATAATTAAAATTAATTGAGAGCTCACCGTGTGCTGTGTATCTTTCATAGATCATCTCGTTTAATTCTCTCAACCACCCCTGTGAACAGGTCCTATTGTTGTTTACAGTTTGCAAAGTTGAAACTGAGGTCTGAGAGGTTAAGTCACTTGTCCAAGGTCACTCAGAGGTCAGAGATGGAATTTTAATCGAGGCCGAGTGGGCCGCCTCCAGAGCCCTGGTTTGTAACCATGGCGCCTTCCTAAACTAGTTTCCACCACGTGACTCAGCATATAGGTTCTACAGCTCCAAACCCCTTCCATCTGCACAGCGTTTGCTGCTCACTCAACACTCTTCCGTGCACTGTGCACTGTCGGCACTGTCAGGTGAGTGGGGCGGCTTATTCCCACTTTACTGATGAAGATACAAACTGGAATGAAAGGGTTAAACCAAACCTAGAAACCAGAACTTTCTGATTCCTTATACAGCACGTTGGGTGGTCCAGGCCAGGCTGCAGAATAGAACCTTCTGGTAATCTCCTCAAAAACCCGAGATTAAGTTTTAACTTCAATCTCACCATCAGAAGAAAATAGATATTTTTGCCCATCTTCCAAGCCAGATACTGTGATAAAAGCTTTACACATGTTATCTTATATAATCCTTACAGGAATTCTAGGGCAAGTAGTATAATTATCCCATTTTACAGATCAGCTAATTGAGGCTGAGTGAGATTTAAGTCCATCATGGATGTCAAAGTCAGGACTCAGACTCAAGTATGTGTTGTGCCAAAGCATGTGCTCTTACTCTGGGCTTAATGCGTCTTTTTATCTTTTCATCCTTGTAAGATGGGTATTATTACTGATGTTTACAAATAAGGGAAGGAAATAAGAGCCAGAGAGGTTAAGCAACTTCTTCCCAAATGCAAGACTAACAGCTGGGAGATCCAGGAGCTAGGCTCCAGCTGTGTCCAGAACCCAGACTCTTCACCTGGAGCCCCGGGCCCTGGCTCTGGGCACGAGAATCCCATGAACTCAAGGCTGACTCGCTCCACGCTGTGATCTGTGTGAGTCAGCCTGGGTAGTACGGGGTTGTGGGACTCAGAACACAGTACTCAGCATTGACGGGACAATCCGTCCTCTCCATGAGCCGACTCTTCTTGTTGGTGAGGCGAGCCAGGTGATGAAGGGTCTCTCTCTTCAGAAGCTTCTTGTGGCTGCTGTGGAGCCGAGCCTTAAGGAAGATGGAACATCCACTCAGTTGCTCAGCCTGAGGTGTGAGGGGGACTAGGTCAGGAAGGAGATGGCCTGCGGCCCCGACTGTCATGGCACCAGCCTGGAAAGAGACGCCTGCCCAGCTCCTGCCAAGCTCAATGGGGCTCGGTGACAACAGTTCCAGGAGACACCACATGATGGACGTGCAGATGCCCTGCTGGGCCTTCATTGGCCTGTATTTTGCTCCAAGCAAGAGTCAGGGTTCAGTAAGGAAGGGCTCAAAGACTGGAATGGGACCCGGGTTACCACAGAGGGTGGGGCATGGTGAATTTCCCTGGAAGCCCCGTGTGACCTGCAGGGCAGCTGAATGTGTCCAGTGAATTATGTTGGAGGAGGGATGATGGCAGGGAGCCTATGATTAAATTTTAGTTTTCCCCCACCCAATCATTTTCATCATGGTTCACAGCAAATGTACATAAAAAAGAAAAGGGGGAAAAAAGCAGCCTAATTAAGATTTTAATTCCATTGTTTAATGTCCAAAGCTAAGAGATCACTAAACTTTTCCCGGGAATAAAGCCATTTTAATTTTTTCAGAATTGTGTGATCACTGATGGATGTATTTGGACTGGAGAGTTGAGCCCTGGGATTTTCTAAGACGACAAGTTGTTGATGGGGAAGGAGGCAACTGCCATCCACAATGTGCTTTAGGGAATTCTTTCCAGTTGTGTGGAAGCCAATTCAACAGCACACATTTACTGTGTGCCTACTGCATGCCAGGCTCCAGGTAGGTTCTGATGACACAGAGAAGGTAAGCAGGACTGCCACATGCAGTTGTTCACGTTGTACACTCTACAATCCTAAGGGACACCACGTAAATCATAGCATAGATTTGTGTATCTATTAAACCCTGTTCCTGCAAATGAGAGGAAGGGGACTTGAAAAAGATGGACTGTACAGGCTAGCTGTGGCATCAGTTAGACACAGCTCCCTCCCTCAAGGAGCTCATTGTCCAGCAAACACTAGGGCTCCAAGACCACTGGGTGATCCTAGGCTAGAAGCTGGGAGAGGTTTTCTCTTTTTCCCTTTCAAGAACTGGCTACATTGTGTTAGATAATGATGGAAAAGCAACTTGATGTACTCTGCTCTTTCTGCTATTGTTGCTGCTCAATGACAGAAAATCCATTCTTTTGTTTCTATGTCTCACCAACTCCCAGGACCCAAGAATCTCCCCCCATCAAGAGAACATCTTCCCTTGGTCTTGTACTCAATTGCCCCCAATCAGGACAAGGCTGCTTGTGCTCATTATTTTAGAAGGAAAAAACCCAAAAAACAAGCTGACTCTGAAAGACAAAATTTCTTCCTAGTCTCTCCAGGGGCTGCCCTCAGGACCACAGCCCCTTTGCCCGCCCCCAACCCTCAACATATCTGCTCCCACACCAGAGGTAACTTTTCTGTGGACCAATAACACACCCCGTGCTCCAAGCGGTGCCAATATCAGATATATTATTTTATTATTCGTTCGTTTGCTTTCCATGGCAAGTGAAAAAATAATTTAAACCAATTATATGTACAGAGGCTTGGTTAAGTTTTCCCAAGAACTTCCAGAAAGATGCCCAGCCCGTTAGATAGCAAAGAAGAGTTGCCCTTAACATCTATACAAAACTCCACCTATAAAAGTCTCACGTGTAGAAAGGTTTCTTTATTATAAGCATCATGTTTTGGGAACAGGAAGGGGGTCAGGGTGGGAGGCGGAGGAACATGTGCAGGGTGGGGGTCCACACACACCTGCCCAGGGGCCATCCTGGGTGGGGAGGCTGTGGCTGGTGGGGCTCAGGGGATCTGCAGCGGGGTCTCCAACATCTCCATGAGGAAGGTGTCGATGGGCGTGTCCCCGATGAGCTTGAAGAAGAAGAGATGCTCCAGGCACTTCAAGCCGATGGAGCGCAGGGCTGGGAGGCGCAGCAGCAGCTTGGCAAACCTGCAGGGAAGCCGGGGAGGGGTTAGGACCCGGGCGCCAGCACGCCCAGGGCAGCTGCTGGCAGAAGGCAGTGCGTTTGGTCTTCTCGACCGATCTGTGATAGCAGAGAGCCTGGAAGGGGAGACTGTCGGAGTCAGAGAATCTCTAATCCTAGGGAGCTTCAGAAATGGGCCAAGGGGCTAATCTTCTTAAAGGAGGAAGTTAGACCCTGAGGCCTCTTGAGAATCTTTTGAATTCTGTGGCATGTCCCCCATTCCTGGTGGGCAAGAGGAGAACTAGTTGCTGGCATGGACTCACGTCTCCACCCCTAACCAGCTGTGCTCCTCACATTCTCGGGGAGGATTTGCCGAAGCTCTAAGACCAGAGCACGGCACACTGCATACACTGCACCCATGGTTGCTGTCCTCCTCAGATGAAGTTAGCTTGAGTCCCTACTGTGCGCCAGGCATTCCGCTGGGTTCTGTTGAGCTCTCAGGATTAGCAGTTCTTCTCTCCTCAGCAGACAATGCTTTTCCTCACACCACAGGCGCTTTATGCAACGAGACCTCAATTTGCCTCAGTTTTTGTTTTTGTTACCAATTTGTAAGACCAGCTTCTTAGTCAGTGCTTACCTTTAAGTTAGGAAGAGAAGGAGATAGAAAATAGTAGTCTCTGCCTCTGAGAAGCCCGTGGTCTCTTGCATACACACTCACACATACACTCTCACACACTCTCACACACACTCACACACTGCCTCCCACACATGTGCACACACACCCTCACCACTGTCCGATATACACAGATGCGCATGCACACTACCCTCATACACACCTATGCACACATTCTCATACACACTTACACATGCCTCACACATGCATGCATGTGCCTGCACACACACACCTTCACCACTGTCACACGGACACATGCACACACACACATCCTCCCACACACCTCTACACACTCACTCATACATTCTTATGCATGCTCGCACACAATACATGCCTCATAAACATGCGTACACATCCTTACCACTCTCCCCCCACACGTGTGCACACATTCACTCACTCTATTATACACCTCACACACATACTTGCACAATGCTCTCACATGCGTGCACATACTCACACAAGTGCATGCACATATTCATACACACTTTTGTTTAATTAAGGCCCTTGCTTGTGAGGTTCACCAAAAGGTGAGAGGCCAGTGTGTGGAAGAACTGGCCTCCCATCTGCACATCCTTTTTAGCCCCCTCCAACTGTGACATTTTCCAACTTGCTTCTGGGGCCCCTCTTCATCTCTCAAAATCCTTTTTGCCAATAAAGCTTATTTTAATGCTATTAACGAGAACTGGAAATCAAGCAACTCTCCTTACAACTTCCAATAAAAAGTACAGGGACCAAAGCCACATCAGTCGCTATGGCTTTACAGCAGAGACTCCTGGCTGGGGTGGGCCTTTCCTGGGTGTCATGACATCATTTCATGAGAAGGTTCGTGAATTTCATGAAAATTCAAATTGGAATTTTAATACTCCTTGAAAATGCATATATTTCTATATTCATGCCACATGAAGTTTTAAGGAAATGGGGCAATATAAAAAGAATCTAAAATGGCACCATCTAGAAAGGCACAAATTACTTCTCTACATGGAAAACTTAAAGGTTTAAGCAAATGCTAACACAAACTCTTAAAAATGTTGGTTATAAAGCCTCTGAATGCATCTGACTGGCGTCACCCTGCAGCGAAGAGACCATTAGATAGAGTTGGGAGGCTGGGTTCCTGCTGGTGGCTGTGCCATGAAGTATGGAACTAGGCAGAGGAAGTCACTTCTCCATACAGTGCAAAGTTAGGCGGAGGCTAACTCTGAAAAGGTGTTTTGGATACTCTAAAAATGCCAAACTTTTACCATATATTAAAAGCTAAATACACAATAATACTGCTCTCTTTGCTGTCTGACCTTGATTTAGGAAACGAGATGAGGACGATAGAAATAGACACGCCCACTAATAGCCAGAGCCATGGGGGAGGCCATCACATTCCTCACTCATGGGTTTGGCAGCAAGGAGGATTCACAGCCTCTGAAGGTGCCCGCCATGGGAGAGTGAAGGTGCCTGCAAGCTCTGCCCGCTCCTGGTGTTGGAGCTCTGCCTTCCGGCTGAAGGCAGAACTCGGCCCCAGTGATGTGTACTTCTGAAAAGCCTCCACGGGGTGGCAGCACTCTACCACCGAGAAAACTGCCTTGACCGGGCCGTGCCAGGATCCCATTCAACCAGTTTCCACAAACCAGAGGTGAGCAGCCTTCAGCACACGTACCTACCTGGTTGAGCCGAGTGGCACCCCTGCTGTACCTGCTCAGCCTCAGGTGGTCATGCTCCGTCCAGGCTGTGCTGGACATACTCAAAGGACATGCAGGGGGCCCAAATTCTGCACCCCCTCCTGGAACTCCCAGGCTCTGCTGTGGTCCAGGCAACAAGAGTTGGCATCTCTCCCTAGTGCCTGGAGATAGCCCAGGGCCTTGGCACCCCTCCCTAGGAAAATGGATAAGCTCCAAAGTTTTAAAGTGATATTCATTAGAAACAACCTAACTGTCAACCACAGGGCAATGACTAAATGCATTGGGATAGATCCACTCTGTGAAATATTACAAAATCATTGAAAATGATAATTTCGTACTTTTCAATAATCTGGTAAAATGTCTAAAATGGCTAAAGGAGAAAAATAATGTGTATGATTTCATACTGTAAATACATATTTCATTGTTTACATGCATTGATACATAAGGATACTGAAAAGAAATATACCAAAACAAAATTATAATCAATTTCTATTACCTGCTTTATTTTTTAAAAATATTTTCCTTATTTCTTACCAAAGCATGCTGTGCTTTTATAATCAGGAAAAAGAGAATTTTGTTTTTGTTTTTTTAAAGAGATAAACAGCATGACTTAGATCCAATTCCAGGAAAAGGATGAGTATGAGCCTTCTTATTCCTAACACTCTGCACACAATATGTGCTCCAAAAAACATGTTAATATTGCCTTAGAGCTGGGAGGTTCAGTAGAAATCATCCACCAGGGGCCTTCAGTTAGCTCCCACCAGCTGGAGGCTGAGCTGCTGCTGGCGGCCGGCCCCGACCTGCTGGGTAGGGCTCTTTCAGTCTCAACCATTGCAGGTGTAGAGGACACTGCCAGGCGTCCACTACTTCCCTGGCATGCAGCTTTCCACATCCTCAGTCTCCTTTGCAGCTGGCTGGGCTGCGTGACTAAGTTGTAGCCAATGGAAGTGAGTGAAGAGATGGGAGCCCTTTCCAGGTCCAGGTCTTGCCCATGGAGCCTCACTTCTGTGCTCCACCCCCTCTCTCCCCTTCCACCATCTGGATGCAAAACACAATGTGGCTCTGGATATGGTGGAGCCCCAAGAAGGAAGGAGCCTGGGTCCCTGAGTGATGGCAGGGAAGAGAGTTGCCTCTCTGAACTGACCTCCCAGGACTGAATTGCCAGCAAGAAATAAACTTCTAGTGTGTTCACAGCTACCAACATTTGGGGGATCTGTGATCACAGCTAATCCTCCTGATACGCAGCCCTGCCCATTCGTTGTACCGAAGGCTGAAACCCACCCACTCCCATGTATTCATAGCCTCCGAGAAACCCAAAGCCCAGCCTCTTCTGGACAATTGATCAACATTGGCTTATGATCCAGGAAAAACGGCTGAAAAGAAATTCCTTCACAGAGGAAGGAAGGTCATTAGTGAGAATCGGGAGCATATAAAATTAATCCTAAAAACAAAACTAATGTCTTTCAGGCAGTTTTTTCAAGTTTCATTTTCAGTTTTCTGTGAAATTTGAGGATCATATTCTCTCTCTTTAACTAGAGTTAGCAGAAGAGGAAAACTTTTATTTAGCTGTGCTTTAGGGGAAATATTTGAGAAAAGTATTTTTGTAACAACTGAGGAATACCTTTACTGGTAGATGGCCTCAGAGATCTTCTGACCAATGTCTTCCTCTTCAGACAAGGAGTCTAGACCCAGACCCTGCACCTTGCCAGAGCCCACACAGATGGCATCCTGGGGGGCAGTAGTCACCTCTCCTGGCTACCAAAGCCTGCATCGTCTACTGCAGGGGCCTTTCCATTGGGCCAGAGCAGAAGGCAATGCAGTCACACTGACAAGAACAACCTCTTTGAAATCAGACAGACACATCCCAGCTCTACTGTGCACCAGCTCTATAACCTTGGGCAAGTTCCATACCCTTTCTGAGCCCAGTGCTTCATTAGAAATGGGGGATAATGATACCCACATTCGTTCATCCATTTGCTCGTTCACTCAACATGTAAAGATGTATGTTATTTGTCAGGCACAGCTCTAGGTTCTGATGCTAAAGTGGTGAACAGTGAACAAGACAGACAAGACCTCTGGTTTCCTGGAGCCAATGCTTTAGTGGCTTCCAGCTTGTTAAAAAGATTAAATAACATTGGAAAAAATCTAGACAGTGCCTGTTGCCCCCTGCCATTCATTCATGGAAGGAAGGAGAGCTGCTGCTGTTAGTACATTCTTCCAGCACTCCCTCACCTGCCTGGTTGTTCCGGATACTTCTGCTTGGTGTAGGCCTCGAGGGTGGCATAAACCTTCTCTCGCAGAGTCTCTACCTCAGAGGGGTTGGACAGACCCTTGGCATCTGAAAAAGATGACTGATTTAACCTTTGGTGACACACCTCAGGGGGATACCCTCCCACAGATGCAATACCCTTTCACCTTGACCATCTGCCCTAGAGTTGCTAGATGGGGAACAATTGTGAAATACACAAAGCTGGTCCTTTGTGCCCACCAGCTGTCCTTTCTGTGCCCAACCTACCCAACAAACTCTTGGGGCAAAGGCACCCACCACTGACTCCAGGAGGAGAGTTTTATTTTATCCAGGCCATTCTAGAAATATTACCTTCACACGTGTTGAGTGCCTACTATGTGCTAAGCATGGACTGTGTGATGAGATAGGGTAGAAAAACCTGATAGACCCATGTTCTGCATCAACTAACTAACCATCTAATCCAGGATATGAAACATGTGCATGAATTACTATGTAATTCTCAATACTCATCTTTCTTGACCCAGAGTGGCATCCGGCAAAGCTGATCACTTCCTCCTTCTTGAAATTCTTTTCTTCTCTGGGCCTCCAGGACACCACCCTTCTGGGTCTCTGCCTGTTTCACCCACTGCCCCTCCTCAGGCTGCTTTGCTGGCTCTTCCTTTACTCCCTAACCTCTGTGTGATGGTATGCCCCAGCACTCAGCCCTCAGCCCTCTTCTCTGCCCTCTGTTTACTTTCTCCCTGGATGAGCTCGTACCAGGCTGACAGCTCTCAAATGTGCATCTCTGGTCCTGGCTTCTCCTCTGAACTCCAGGTTCATATAAACAATTGCTTCCTGGGCAGCTACTCTTGGATGTCTATGATCCATCTCAGATTTTAATGTCTAAAGACCAAGTCCTGACTCCTGCTCACTCACCCTTAGAACCTCTATCTCAGTAAATGGAAATTCCATTTTTCTAGTTGTTCAGGAAAACCAAACAAAAAACCCCTGAGAATTATATTTAATGCTTGTCTTTCTTTCATACCCTATATCTAATCCATCAACAAATCCATTGGCTTTGCCTAAAAATTTATGCAGAATCTGACCACTTTTTACCACTACCCTAGACCACTGTCATCTCTTGTCTTCCTCACCTGCCCCCAAACATGCACATTCCACACCCATTCACAGAACTTTTCAAGATGGCTCTAGAAGTAGACGCTACAAGGAGTTGACTCTCTGCCCTCCCCAAGGACAGGTTTCCTGGCCTGCTTCCTCTGGCTCAGCTGAGCTAGAGGACCAGGGAATGTTGGAGCACTGGAGGCTGACCGTGGAGGAGGGCTAACCACTACATAGTCACCTGGGTTAAACAGCACGATGGCTCGCAGACACCCCAGCTCAGACTTATCCATCTGCATGTCTTTCATTTTGGAGACCAGCTCAGTCAGAACTCTGTTCACAGGAAAGAATGGCAGGTGATGAGAAAATCATGAGTTCCAGGCTAAGGGCTGATAAAATGAATGCAAGCAACATTTATTATGTACCCATCCTGTTTTCCAGATGATGCGCCAGGTACTAGGGGCACAGAGATGAATAAGATTACAGTCCCTGATCTCAAGGAGCTCACAGTAACTGAAGAAACAGATATGGAAATAAATACAGCAAAACAAAGCCAGTAATGGCGGCGAGTAAAATCCAAGGGAATACCACCACGGAGGAGACAGTGAACTCTGGGTGGGGGCTGGAAAGGCAGACTAGAGGAGTTTGAAATGAGCAGAAATGCAACAGCCAAAGCAGGCTGAAGGCATCACATGTCTGCAGGAGTACAGCAGAGGACAGCATTCACTGACAGGGTAGAAATCTCCAGGCACCATGAGGAGGGCTGAGCCACCCAAAGACCATATTGGTCTCTGTCTTGAAACATGTTGTGAGAAAGGGAAGGAGAGAAGTAGAGACATCTTAGATGGACAGGCACATGGCCCTAGAAGGTCATTTATGATGGAAGTGGAAAGGAGCCACGGGGCCCTGGTGTTGGACAGAGAGACTAGTTTCAACCTTATCTTCCTCTCTCCCAGTTCTCCATCCTATCACCCGCAAGTCATTCATCTCTACTCATTTCATTCGTCTTCTTAAGTCACATGGCTTAATTTTCCTTTAGCACCATTTAGGGCACAGAATCCTGGACTGAGGGTGTCATTGCCTGACCAAGGTGGGTCTGCTTCTGTTACAGACCTTCCCCGGATATCCTGGTGCAGAGTCCAGCAAAAGCCTCAGCTCATCCTTCCCAGACTCCTAAAGTCAGATCCCGGACCCTGATCTCCATCTCGGCCCCCTAGGATAAGCAGTTCAACCTCCCCACCCCCAACTTACTAGGTAATGTCAATAATCCAGTCTCTTCTTTGGAAATCCACAGGGACAATAGATTCTCCCAGCTGCCCAGCAACTATGCTGGCCTCTGACTGGCTCTACTTCATTGTATCAACCTTTCTTCTAATCCTTCTCTCATTCTCCAAGTTTATGTTCTCATGTGCTTAATGGTCTCTGCTTCTTGCCATGTGCAGCTGTTTGAGCTGTCCATCCTATATCCCAGGACTACCCACAGGTACACGCACACACATGCACACATGTATACACATACACACACAAGCACTGGAAGCAGAAGAGAGCCACCTGTCAAAGATGGAGCCAACCCCAGCACTGTGGGCACTGCTCCTGTGGACGTGTAAACCCGTGGCCAGAAGGATGCCATCCTGCACGGAAACTGAGCGGTGGGAGAAGGAGGCAATCAGCAATTCATTCCACCCTGCAAGGATAAGAAAGAGACCTTGAATGAAGACCCAGCACATTCTTGCTTCATTGATAATCATCCAATGCATGTATTACTATCCCCACTTAATAAAAGCAAAATCAGAAATTCAGGGAGTTTAAAAACTAGTTCCAGACAACACAGCTAATTAGTGAAGAAACAAAAGATAAGGCTGGGGTCCCCTGACTTGTGGCTCTGCACATCCCCTACAGTCTCCCGAATGCAGCCCAGAATGGCAGCTGGAGGACAAGAACTCTTTTTTTCCCAGTCAGTCAACAAATATGGATTGAACACTTAACAGGTAATAGTCACTATGTTAGCTGCCATGATTGATAAAGTGACTATACCTTGCAGTCTCTGCCCCCAGGACCTGACAACCTAGTTTTATTTCTTTGGCATTGTCTAGTAGCACCCAGCACAGTATGTAGCTTTCAGTCGACACTCAGTGATTCCTCATTATCTAACGCGGCTGATATGAGTGGACTGGCTCCCAATGCTCAGCCAATCTTCAGAAATTTCCCACTGGCTCAGTGACAAAGAGGAGATATGGCACATGTCAACTGCACAGTGTCCCAGAAATGGGAGGCAAGAAAGAATACAACACATAGAATCTTAAAATAGGAAGGGACCCTGGAATCCATCTAGTAAAGCCTGGGCAAAAATCTTTGGCTTCCCTTACTTCACCTGAGACATGGGAGTATCTCTATTTTTGAATTTCATAACAATAATGAGGCACTGCTTCAGATTGTGCTCAATAACGATGATTTAACTGTGTTTGAAATTAGTTATAAAGCAATGGTAAAATTTGCATGGAAAGAGTCTCACCCTCCGTTAACAAACGATGTCTCATTTGAGAATGAAAGGTTTTTGAGAGGACCATCCAAATTTAAGAGCCTACAAATAATATGAAAAAGAACAACGCTGGATAGGGTTATCCTGTCAGCTTGGCTGGGTTAGAGCTCCACCGGGTTACTTGTTTTAGGATCCCAAGGGTAATTTCAAAATGGCAGCCCAAAAGATTGTCCCAAGAAGAAAGGATCCCCGATATCCTTTACCTGCCCGGAGCAGAATGACCTGGTCCTCCAAGGTGAGGTCAGAGAAGTGGGGAATGCGCTTGGCCCATTCAACGAGAGTGAAAAGCTGCTTATCAGCAGCATGGCATATGTTGGTGACGGGGTCATTCGTCTGAAAAAGGAACAAGGTATTGTGAGGGACAGATTCCAGGACTCTAATACACCTCTTTCCCATGTACCACCCCATCTAAGAAATGGGAGATGATGGAGGTTGAAGACCACATACTGAGTTCTCCATGTTCATGTCACCATAGGATTCCGTCTTTGGTTCAACAGCAAGTTCAGCTTCTAGAATCCTCTCCACCGGCATATCTTCATGGCCACTACTGGCACATTCCGCCTCACTCTCGGCACGCTCACGGCTCCTCTGCCTTTCTTCTTGCACAGCTGGCATGCGGAAGTACATGAAGAGTTACCATAGGCCCAGGATAATGGTGGGAAAGTTAGTTCCCCACCTAAGCCTCAGTTTCCTCGTCTGTCAAATGGGTGTCATCATGGCACTGAATCAGGGATGTTGTAAGGTTGACAGATGAAACAAAGAAAGCAAAGCTATTGGCTTATGTCTGTGCAGAACCAACTATGGCTTCTTTAGTCCATATTCTTTCCAGTTCATTATGGTGACCACTCTGAGAAGTTTGCATTTTAAGTTTTAATAATCTCCAATTCTGTGCTCTTTTAATGAGCCTTACTGTCCCTGCAGGGTCCCACATCCTCCCTCTACCTGCTACATCTAACAAACCGTGAGCACGCAATGGTTAAGTAGTAAGCACGTTACTTTAAAAACTCCCTCTGTCAGATCCTATGCATCATGCTTGGCATTCACGTCCCATTAGGTCTGCCCCTGGTGCACCAGCCTGAACACAACATCACCTGATCTGACTTGTCAGGAAAGACCTTCAGGGAGCCATGTGGGTATTTAGTAAGTGAAGGGGTGGAGGAATGTCACTTAGATGACATTTCAGAAACAGCAGCTGATTTGGGGGGTGGGGAGGGTATATAGGCAAAGACATAAGCTGGGATTATCTCAGCCTCCCAAAATTTAGGGTTTTTATCAAAGTTCATTCTAACTCCCAGAACCCTCTGGATCTGTACATTAGGATGCAGGCAGGGCCGTTCTCCAGTTCTGTCCTCTTCCTTGAGACAACAGTCTCTTATGGGTTAATTTCCATCATCTAGAAAGCTATGGGTTCCATCTTCTTATTCCCAGTAGCAATAAGCAGAATTCAGTATTATGCATTTTTTTTAATCCCAAGAATCAAGAAAATTATGTTCTAGGCAGGTGGCTAACCTGGAACTCAGTGACAGCTACTCCTCTAGCAGCTATTATCTCTCTGCTTCTCTCCCTTCTTCCCCACCATCCACTCCCAGAAGCACCTCTTACTCTCTGAGGGGGATAAGGAGCCACAAAGGCTGCAGAAGGAACTGCAACCAGACGCTGGACATCTAGTTTGTGATGCAAGCGATGTCACTGATCTCTCAAGGTAGGTCAGAGAAGGGTATGATTGCAAAACACAACTTATACTCTGAAGTCTCTGTAGAGATTCACCAAGAAGCCTCAGGATGAGAATGCTATTCACTGGTTGGGACAGAGTGATGATAGGAAGGAAGGAGTAAAGGAAGCAAGGGAAGAGAGAATAAAGCAGAGGAGGAAGAAAAAGAAGAAACAGAAGAGAGAGGGAAAAGTAGGAGAGAGAAGAGCAAAAACACATATCTTGGAGTCAAGGAAATCTTTTTCAAAATGCTAGCACTTCCTAGCTAAATGACATCGGACATACTATTTAGCCTACTAAGCCTCACTTTCCCTATCTATAAAGTGGAGATTATAGTACTTAGCTGAGATTGTTTTGTGAGGATTAAATGAAATAATTATAAAAAAATTCAAAAAAAGGTAGTTATTTTTCCCTCCTCTGTGTCTCTCTTTATGCTCTTGGGCTTCTCCGGTCCTCTCTACATCTCTCTTTTTGGCCTCTTCCTCCCTCTCCTTATTTCTCTTCCTCTCCCATCCTTCCTTCCTGTCTGTTCTGTCAGTCTTCCTTCACTGTCAACATACAGAAACTATCATATATATTTTTATTATCAGATTTACTGGTTAAAGTTGAATGCTTCTTGTATTATGTTTTTCAAGTAGGTTCATGGGCTTCTATTTGTCTTAATTTTAAAAGATGGGGAAAAGCAACTTAAGTTCCTTTTGTAGTCCTCAACTGATTTCTTCTACAGATTTGTAACACTCCAGGAAAATAACCTTCAAGTTTCAAAGCAAATAGCCTTGGCTTAAGAGAATTAGATTCTAATCCCAGTTTTGCCATTAATTGAGCAACCCTTTGCTATCATTTCTCCTCTTTATTTTAGGTCATAAATGAGAAGTCAGATGTCTGTTGTTGGAGGAAATCTATGTGGCAGACATTCTGAGCTACCGCCACTACATATATTAGGGTACATCTAGGAGACAGTGGGTGATTTAAAATAGTAACAAACTCCTGCCTTACAACAGGATTTTATCCATTATTCCAACATATATTTATTGTGTGTATACTATAATAGCCAAAATTTATGGAGCTCTTTCCCTGTGTCAGGAATTATGCTCCACACTTTATATAGATTACATTTCATTTAATCCTCACAATAACCCTCTGAAGTACTAGAAACTGCAGAGAAGTTAGGTAACCCACCTAAGGTCACACAGCTAGGAAGCGGTGGAGCCAGCCTCAAAAATAATCCACTCTCTAACTGTCCAAACTACATCACCTGACCGGAAATCATGGACATAGACTACCCCAGAACCCCCGAGGATTGTTTGGTGGCCTGGAAGTTAGAGAGTTCCAGCCCTATACCAGCTCTGCCATTAGCTGGCCGTGTAAGCTTAGGCAGGGCCCTAGCCTCTCAGAACCTCTGTTTCTTCTTTCAGGAAATGAATGTGTTACATCGGAGAATAGCAAATGTCCATTCCAGCTTCACTATTATGTATCCTAAAAAGGCAAAAGGTCTTCGCCCCTGGCGCCAGGCAGGTGAATTCTGAGCCCACCCCAACTTCATCTCCTTCATTCTGTCCAACTCTCTAAAATTCCCTAGTCTCCCTCAATTATCTGTTCCATAATTCTATTGCTCTTGTCCTCAAGTAGGTGTCCAGACTGAGCCTCAAGTTCTGTAAATCAAGGCCAGGAATGATAGTGGTGAAGGAAAGGCTGTCTGGGTGCCTTTTGAAAGTGGTCTTTCATATCATGATATGAGAAATTGATTCACTTCTTTGCCTTCTCTTTGTCATGGCAAATAGTATCAATTCATTTAGAAATTTCTCTAAGAGCCCCTTTCACCCTCCTAATGTTTACTGCTCAGCTTTTCATCACTCTCTTTTCTTTACATTCTTTTTAAAAAGGCAGGAGTCAAAATTGGACCCAATTTTCCATTAAAGAATCATTACCATGCTAGATTAAAAGAAGGACCACCCAGACTCTTACAATCCACATGTCCCTGTTTGACTTACTCTTTTTTGTTTGTTTGTTTTTGAGGAAGATTAGCCCTGAGCTAACATCCGCCACCAAGCCTCCTCTTTTTGCTGAGGAAGACTGGCCCTGAGCTAACATCTGTGCCCATCTTTCTCTACTTTATATGTGGGATGCCTGCCAGAGCATGGCTTGACAAGCAGTGTGTAGGTCTGCACCCGGGATCCAAACCGGCAAACCCCAGGCTGCTGAAGCAAAAGGTGCGAACTTAACCACTGTGCCACTAGGCTGGCCCTCTTTTTTTTTTTAATGAAAGAATCACACTTTCCACCATTTAACTTGTGGACCTCTCTGACCCTAATGGAGCTGAGGGATATTCAGGTTGATATTTTTTTTGTTTTTATTGAGGAATAATTAACATGTTATATTAGTTTCAAGTGTACAACATAACGTTTCTATATTTGTATCTATTGCAAAATAATCACCACAAAAAGTCTAGTTAACATCCATCACCGTATATAGTTACAAATCTTTTTTTTTGTGATGAGAACGTTTAAGATCTACTCTCTTAGCAACTTTGAAATATACAGTAGAGTATTATTAACAATAGCCACCATGCTGTTCATTACATCCCCAGGACTTATTTATTTTATAAGTAGAAGTTTGTGCTTTTGACCCTTTCACCCATTTTGCCCACCTCCCACACATCCCAACTCTGGCAACCATCAATCTCTTCTCAGTATCTATAAGCTTATTGCGGGGGGCGGGGACGGGTAGATTTCACATAAAAGTGAGATCACTTGAGTTTTAAGTTGAGTTTTGAGAGAGAGAATTAGAGTGTGAAGAAGTAGAAAAGACCACTTCTCTGACGAAAGTGTTTCACTTTCCTTTAATCCATCTCATATGCTTAAGGATAATTATTATTTTTCCACGTCAACCTGAAATTTATATCATCTGTCCTGGGAGGGGCAATGAGCCCTGCATCAATCACACTCTTGCTGATGGGAGACACACTTCGGAGTCACTAATTCAATGTTTTGACTATCACGGTGGTGGAAGCTACAAAGGGTATCAATTCTATCTTGGTGAAGAGAAGGCAGTCTCCAGCAGCTGGTTTTTCACATCACATGTTCCAATCTAGAAGATCATTGACCCCTCTACAGCAATTATGACATGAGCATAAAGTAGGCACTCAATTCATACTTGATGAATGAATGAAGGAATGAATGAGTGAGTGAATGAGTCATTTTTTAGAAGCTCCTGCATTACTAAAACTTTTGTTCCAATATTCAGTTTAAACTACTCATCTATTCATTCAACAATTATTTATTGAATGTCTACTATGTGCTAGTCATTGGTGATATAGCAGTGGGAAAAAAAAGCAGGAAAAAAACCCTGCCTTTTTTGGAGACAGATACTAGACCAAATAAATATGTTAGATAGTGATAAGTGCTGTGGAAAAGAGACTAGGAAGTATGGGGGATGGCTGATGCAGTTTTAGACAGTGCAGTCAGGCAAGGCTTTACTAAGAAGTTAACAACGGAGGAAAGTGCTGAAGGGAGAGAAGAAGTGAGCCAAGCAGATACCTAGGAAGAGGGCATTCCAAGCAGACAAAGTGCAGACCCTGAGGTGGGAGCACCCTGGCGGCCCAGCAAAGAGACCAGGAAGGCTGAAGCAGAGACCTGGGCAGCCAGAACCTGTACAACCTTGAAGTCATAAACGAGACTTAGCTTCTTTTCTGAGTTAGATGGGAAGGCTTCAAAGGCTTTTGGTAAAGGAAAGGCTTGAGCTTACCCACTTGTTGAAAGCCTCCCTCTGTCAGCTGTGTTAAGGAGAGACTGTAAGACAACAAAGTGGGAGCAGGGAGAATTCTTAGAAGCCTGTTTGGATTATTACAAAAGATAATGGTGGCTTGGAATATAGGGGTTGCAGTAAAAGTAATGAGACATGGAAAGATTCCAGACACATTTTGAAGGAGAGAAAAGATTTCCTCACTCATTGAATGTGATGTTTGAAAGAAAGAAAGGAGTCCAATGGTGTCTGGTTAGAGCAACTGAAAAATGGCCATTTCCTAAAATGGGGAAAACTGTGCAATGAACAGACTGGGGAGCACAGATTATCAGGAGTCCAGGTTGGGTCTGTCAATCTGAGATTCCTGTCAGATGTCAGAGTGAGGGCTGTCCTTAGTCCCAGAGGTCCTTCACACCCTGGCAGGAGAGGAGACTCGAGATGAGCTCTGATCCGGGAGTGAGAAGATGTGGTCTCTGCTCATTACCTGCCTTTGGGACCTTGGAAAACTCACCTCACCTCCCTAAGCCTGTTTCCTCAGCTGTAGAATGGTTAGGGTTGACTCAATGCTTCTGAAGGGCCACCTCCATCTCGGACATGCTAAGATTCCAATAACAACATTTGTTTTCCTTCTTGATAGCATTTTCTCTTAACAGAGACTCAAAGAACCTTTTCTTTCATTGGTCTTTTCAATCAGCCTACCCCTCCTCACAGAAAAGAAGTTCTTCACGGATGCGGAGGCACTTGGGACTGACTAAATTCCTTGTTTCTATTTCCTAGAGAGAGAGGCAAGTCTTTCTCACTCTGAAATCTATTGAGTCACCGTTTAGACCGTGTACCTGCTTGAATTCACAAGCTAATTAACTGTCCAATTCAATTTATTTGTGTTATTTAATGGAAAGACTTTTTGATCTTATAAATGAACAGAAAGCACCTTCAGATTGGTTTCTTTTTTTTTTTTTTTGACTCTACAACAATCCAGCTAACCCATACTATAAATTGAAAGATGTAACAGTTTAAAAATCCGCAATGATGGTCTCTCTGAATGACAAGCCTAAGTCTGAGTATTGGTAATGCCAATAATTCCAAAAGACCTTGGAATACACCAATCTCAAAGGATTTGTAGCAGATCAAAGTTATAAAAACCCAGAGAGAGGAATCAAACCAGCAGGTTTCCCCAGGATGAGAGGGGAGAAACTGGCTCCACCCAGAGGGTCAGTTTGATGTTCTCTTTGTAGGGCAGCACACTGGGACCCTCGAACCTTGGCTCTGAGACTTGTTGCCTGACTATCGAAGAGCAAGGGAGAGGGTCCAGTTTGGGGACCATAATCTGAGCTCCAGGAGATGATGGGTGAAAGAGAAGGAGGAAGATGTTCTTGCTCCCTTTGCCCTGAGGTACACAATTCCTAGGGCAAGGGGCATTCAATTGCAATACTTGAGAAATCATGGGACCCAAAGTCATCCCAGCCTCCACTTCAGACTTCTTCCTACATAGTCCAGCCTAGCAGGGCTCTTTCCTACATATTGAATTTGTCTCCAACCGTTATTTATATGCCAACAGCTCTCCCTTGAGAGGAGGGAGGGGCTGTGGGGAGCCTCACCTTCCCTCTTCATGCCCATGACAAGGCACTTCTGATAGCGACAGTACTGGCAGCGGTTGCGCTGACGCTTGTCAATGAGGCAGTCTTTATTATCCCGACACGTGTAGATGAGGTCTTTCCTTATGGTTCTCTTGAAGAACCCTTTGCAGCCTTCACAGCTGTACACACCATAGTGCTTTCCTGGTCACAAGAAAAGAACATTCCGTAGGTTGTTCTTGTGTTTATTTGGATCATTCATTTAAAAGAATCACTTGGCTCTCCCCCAGAGAAACTGGCACATCACTTGGGCACTGGGACAGGAGAATAACTAGCAGAGAATACAGGCTTGATCACAGGAACCAAACTAAGGCAGAGGAAATTTGCCTTTCCTGCTGTCTTCCCTGTGGAAGCGATTCTCTGGAATTGCTAATTACAGAGCATTATTAGAAAATTCCTGACCTAGGATTTTGTTTACATTTATTTTATCAAGGCAACTCTTGTGTTTAGTTAAGCAAAACGTTCTGCCTCCATTCAAGACATTAGTATACATAATATATAAAAATATTTATGCTCGTTAAGTATTATCTAGCAGGAAAAGAAGCTCAGCTTCACTAATATTTCTCCATAATTGAAGCCCAAGGACTTAGGAACTCCACTTAAAAGTATTATCCTTCACCATAAACTATGCACAGGATCCTAAGTTTTGAATTTTGTAAACGCTGTTGCCTGTTGGAGAAATAAATTGGTATATGATCTTTATAGAGTAATATGACATGCAATCTTGAGATATGACATAAAGATCTGATGGAAGGTGGTTTTGCTTGATCCAGAATAATTTGTTACATGTTTCATTGCCTTTATTACCTGTTTCACACATTCAGTTTTCAGTGACCCCAGCCGGGGATGGCTAATTTGTATCTGGAGATCCACCACAACCATCCCCTCACAGGCATCATTGAGTCAATCACAATAGTCTTTCTAAGTAGAAATCTTCTCACTACAGCCAGCTATGCTCAATTGATTGGACTTATGGGACTTGAAAAGTAAAAAGTAATAGATAATTCAAAACATATCTATGTCTGATTCTTGAGTATCATATGTGATGCCATTTAGCTACAGACCTGACATCGCTGTCCAATTCTGTTGTATTTAGGCTGATATTAAAGTGAATTTGAAATCTCTGAGAACTAGGAAATGGAAAATGTCTGCATCCTGGGACCTTACATTTCAGAGGAAGCCTAAGATGAAACAGTAGCTAGAGATAGCCCGCCTGATGAAAAGTCAGTCTGTGCCTGATCAGTTGACTATACTAATTTAGTGAACTCACAGCAATAATAAATATGCAATTTTATCTTGGGCTCAACAAACCTAATGCTCTCAGCTCTGAAGTATTTGTCTTTGAGAAACATGGGACCAACTTGTCGTTCTCATGTCTTTTCAACATATGAATGAACCTCCCAGACTTTCAGCTAAACCATAGCACAGAAAACTCTATCAGGGTATGGCTGGCACTTTGTTGCTATGGCAATGGCCAAGTCTGCATGACTTGACAACAACTTTCTGAGAGCAAGCAAACATCAGCCATGCAGCTAAGTAAGTTCCAGGCACCGGGAACTTTCAATGGAGTGACATTTTGTTGTAGCTTTGGTGACAATAAGAAGATGAGGAAATATGCATTCAACCATCATGGACAGCTATAGAAAAGAAGCTTCCCCATCTTCTCATTCATTGAATCAGAGATTCAAATGCCATCAAGATTGGTGGGGTGGGAAGTGGGGGGCAGGAATGACGGAGGAAGGGAAAGAAGTCAGGAGAGAAATAATTTGGGCAAAGGTGGAAGAGGATTGGAGAAGATGAAATCACTGAAAACACATTTATTTCCACCCATGAAAACATGTTAAAAACCTAGAATGTTGCAGAAGGAAACATGCTAAAATATTAAAGGGCTTATCTTCATGGGGGACATTATAGATAACATTTTTAGTTTTCTTTTGTACTTTTCTAGTTATTCCAAATTTTCCACATTGGTATATACTTTTTAGAATTACAATTTTTTTTTTTTAATTGAGGAAACTCTATCTTGAGATACTTGCTAATCACAACTTCTCTATCCCAGGTACACATGCGACCCAATAACTCCAGAAAAGTTCTTCTGAAATGCTTCCTATAAATCTAATCCTCGGAAATGAAATCATACTTTAAATTCATCAAGAATACAGGCTATGAACACTTACAGCCTGAACCCCATGCTGGACCACACTAAAGGGCCTTTTTCCTTCATTGGATACAAAGCAGCCAGGAGGGCAGTGGAGCAGGTACCTTCTCTGGGAGCCTCGTTGCATGGGGCACTGAGAAGGGGCGACTGCTTCTGCACATACCTGAGGATCTGTCCCCACAGATGGCACAGATGTGTTTAACCAGAGATCCAGGGCTGGTGGACGGGTAGTTCATGTTTCCAATCCCAGGAAGCCCTGGCAAAGGCTTGATGTCCTCTGAAATGCTGACACTGTTGACCACATTTAGCTACAAGAGAAAAAAATACAATAAAACACCGAGCCAGGGTAAACCCAATCCCCGAGAGCAAAGCAACAAGGGCATCCTCGAGAAAAGACCAGTTCTATTTCAAGAAGTAGTTTCCAAGGATAGAGGATCTGACACTGCCGATGGGGATATGAGTGTAAGGGAGAAAAAGAGTGGCACAGAGGAACTAAATCATTTCTAGAAAGCCAAAACCTAACTTGAAAATCACAACACATCTCCATCAGAGCTCCCTGCTTGTACTCATTTTATGCGTCTGTTTTGAGCTAGAAATCCACACTGAATGGCACACTTAGGACAAGTCAGCTGTGTGTTTTTAAATTTTTTATTAACTACTGACTGCCTGTTCGGGAGTGTTCCAGGAGGAGCTATGGCCTCAGGCAAAAGACTTAGACTCCTAGAGAGCCAAGCAAAAAATGCAAATCCATTCATTTAGTGAATAAACAGTCACCTAGTGCTCCCCATGCCAGGTACTGTGCCAGGCTCTGGGGTACAAAGGTGAATATAGATACACGCTCTTAAGGAATTCACAGGAAGATGGAGGAGAAGATATGTGTAGCAGTCATCTCAATGAGCACACTGAGGATGCTAAACCAAATGCTCAAATCATTGCAGTAGCATTGAAAATTAGGTAGAAAGCCTCAGACCATGTTTTTGAACTTGTCTGTAAGGAACAAATTATCTTCCCAGGAAACTATAAAATCTGGAGAGCCAGAGGCTGTCTGCTTTGTCTTCCCAGTGCCTGATGCGGGCCCGGCACATCAGCGGGAGTCAGTAGATTTGAACGGCTGAATAAATGAGCCCCTCTTCTTGGCCCTCATCACAAGTTAACATTAGGTCCTCACCACCACGTGCCCCCGTCTCCCAGTGCTTTTTGAGACATGACTGAGCAGCCCCTGCTATGGGTTTGTGTTCATCAAAGAAGAGTTAAATAAATATGAGCCAGTCATCCAATAAGCAGCATTTCTGCGTGCCCATGGGTACAGATCAACACTCGAGGCCTGAGAAGGGACATATAAAATCTAGAAGATCTGTCACTCATTCCTCAAAATGCACAATCCCATTGAGGAATCAGGACATGCACAAAAATTAAGAACACTTACAAGTAAATTCAAACAAAAGTGGTGTGGAGTTTGCGTATGTTTAAGTGTCCAGTAGAGGAGCCTGGTGAATATCTGGGGTGAAGCGGAAGTCCACTGACTCCTGGATGGTCTGTGTGAATTTTCAGGCAGATTGCCTAACCAAAGTGACTGCAGTTCTCAAACTGAACCAAAGGAACCCAAGGTAAGATTTTCTTCTCTATTGAAGGCCTTTGGGACAGAAGGAATGATCAATAAAACATAAAATAGAACAGAGCCTGAGTTAGGTTCCTTCTAAATTGACCAGCTTTTCAATTCACTAAGCAAATATTTATTGAGCACAGGGGGTGGGCAGAGGCTCTGGGTTAAATGCTGCGAGGGATGCAAAAGAGAAAAGACATAGCCTTCAGCACATTGCCTTGAAATCAAAGTCACCAGGAATTTTTAAAAATTAATTTGTATGAAGGATGAAAACACATATGTGATGGGAGAATTCTCTCTCTTCTTCTCTTCCTCCCCGCTCCTCTTCCCTCTTTTCTGTACAAGGCTAAGACAAGACATCTAGGTCTTAGATCCAGTATTTTGTTTTGTTTTGGTGTATTTTGATGGCTGTCAACCCTGGATGTACACCTGGGAGCTGTGAAAAACACTAATGCCTGAGCCCCACACCCAGAAATTCTGATTCAATGGGTCTGAGGGCCATTGGTACTGGAATTTCTGGAAGTTTGCCAGGTAATGCTAATGTGCAGCCAGAGTCAAGAATCACTGATGTAGGGGGGGAAACATCGCTTTGGAGCCACACAAGCCTGGTTCACTCCCAGTCTGCCCTGATTGGCTGCAGGACTTCAAAGAAGTTCTTGATCTTCTTTGACCTTTAATTTCCTTATCTGTAAAATGAACATAGTAACCCTCATTTACAGAAGCACTGGGAGGATTAGATGAGATCATGATGTAAAATGCCCACCACAGTGCCCCAGCACACAGTAAGTGTTCCATAAATTGTAGCTATCATCATCCCAGTAAAATCTGGTTAATTCAGACAAGAATTTTGAGTATTTATTATAAGCCAAGAGTCTACTGTGTGCTCAGAAGTCTGCAGTAAATGAGACCTCATTCACCAAGGGGGTTAAATGATTCCATTTCTCACTAGGGGAGGGGGAGTGTCAAAAAATTATTTGATATTGTCATAATACTAGGTTATTATTATTTCAAGATATGTGATATATTTAGATGCATATTGACTTTTAAGAAATAGGTGAGGGAGTTTCTGTCAGTGTGAATTCTAGGCAACAACTTTTCCTAAGTGCCTCGAGGAAACAGACATTAGCACTTAGATCCACCCCATGGAAGCACTTAGTCAGATGACCCCAAAGAAAGAGCGCTCTAGCTGACCACGGCTCTGTCCCCAAATCCTGAGAAGGACAAGACAGGTCATGGGAATAAGGAGAAGGCCACCATCACCTGGGGCTCAGGAGGCCTCACGCACCTTTCCTTCCCACTCCCATTGCCAGCAGGACCAGTACCACCACCTCAGGCCTGCCACAACCACAGAACAGAAACTATTGTTATAGCTACTGTTAGTGCTACTGCCTATGGAAAGCTTACTCGGTGCGAATTGACTGTTTTAATTCTCACAACAAGCCTATGAGGTCTTCCTATTTTTCAGATGAAGAAATTGAGCCTCAAAGAGGTTTATTCATTCATTTATTTGGAAATACTATGGGGACACAAAAAGGAAGACGATGCAGGCACTGTATCAGGGAACTGGCCATCAATGAGATTAAAAGTCAGTGGGATAGTTAAGGAAGGAAAGACCACAAGCAATTGAGATTAGGGAAGACTTCTTGAAGGAGGCGGCATTTGAGCTGGGACTCAACAGCCTGCAAAATTGGGTAAGATTTGGTTGGGCCAGTGATGGGCAAAAGGCTTTGAGAACAAAGGCCTGGAGGGAAGCGCAGGTGTTTGTGTCCCATAGATGGATGTGAGACAAGGCAGGCAGGCAGGCTGTGGCAGAGCCTGAGGCTTGATTGCCTGGCTAAGGAGAGTGCATTTAATCTGAGAGGCAACGAGGAGCCATTGGAGGTTTGAAGCAGAGGAATACTGCCCTCAAAATTCTGCCTCAGTGAAGTAAGCGAGGCGGCAGCACAAGGAGAGAGACATCCCAGGCTATTGCACCTGCACAGGTACCAGGTTGGGTGCCTTCCCAGGTCTAACAGATTGGAGCTGGAACCCCGGGCTCCTAGATCCCCGGTCATCATTCCTCCTTCACCACATCATCTGTCTCAGATCTCCCTTGCCCCAGCAGCTTCCTGCCCCCAGCTTCTTGCGAGAAGCCCCTGGAGGAGCCTCACTTCTGAGCACTCTCTCAAGGTCTGAGCCAGCAGCCCCTCTCCAACTCTCCAACACTCTCCTCTTCGTGAGTCCCCATGGCAGTGAGGGGAAGAGGTTGAGACAGGTGGGATGAGGCGCTCTTCTCCGTCAGCCTCTTCGCTGGCTTGGAGTTGTGGGGGCTCAGAGCAATGGTAGATGAGATCTAAGGCAGCCAGCAGAGCACAAACCCATTAGCTGCCTGGCCCCCGAGTCCCTCAGCCCCGGCTGTCTTGTTCCATTAGAAGCAGCTCTGCTGAAGTGAGCACTTTAGAGCGGGGATGCACCAGGCGGCTGGCTGCTCCCTGAGAACAGGGTAGAAACACACTTGGCTGGCCTGTAGTCCATTTGCACTCTCAGCCAGGAACCGAATGCCTCCTGGACGCCCTGAAGCCGTCACAGAACATCGGGTCCCACATTTCTGAGCTGCTTTCAGCCCAAATTATTCCACCAAAGGCAGATAGGCAGCCAGCTGGCCAGGCTGCAGGCAGGCGCTCCTTCTCCAGGGAGTAGGATCCTTAGAGGGCATTGCTTTCATTTACTGAGGGTCTTCCTCTCGAGGAGTCAGGAGGCTGGACCTCCAACCAGGGAGAGAGGAGCCCTGGGTTCTGGTCTAGACCTGCCGCTTCCTCACTGTGTGATCTTGATCAGTTTCCTTCGCTGAGAGACTCCGCTTCCTCATGTACAGACCAGTTCAGTGGTTTGCAAACTCAGAGCGCATGCGTAGCAGGGGAGTGGGGAGGCAGAAGGAGAAGGTTTCATACCTCCCGCCCCTACTTCACCCAGACCTGTGTTGATTTAACATGTATATTAGGCTTCCAAATGTGCTTTCCCTGGAAGAAAAGACTTCATGGCTTAATTTTTAAAAAAATCATTAAACAAGATGATCTTTAAGATCTATTCCACCTCTAATATTTGCAATTTTTGCCTAAGTATTCTCTATAAATTATGCCAATATCTGAAGGGATCGTAAAGGTTATCAATCAATATCTGACCAGGAATTATCAGGCACAGACCCAGGGCAGGCAGCAGGGTTAGGGAGGGAGAAAGAGAGAGAAGCATTCTGAAGACTTGCAGGGCCTGCTTGAGTCCAGCCAACAGACATCACGCTTATGAACAGAAAGCATTACACACACACACTCACACTCAGGAAAATGTGGCCCAGATCGTTTTATCTGAAAGCTGCATAAATATCTTCCCCATGACATATTTGGTGTGTTTGGAAATTGCTCACTCCACTTAGATACTCCCCAGAGCAGGGACTAAGTTGTATACATTTTTTTTTAAATCTCCAGAGCCTGGTTCAATGAATGCTCATTGAAATGGACTTCTCTAGCACCTTTGAGCAACAGAGTGCACCTGAATCAATGATCATGTAGGTATAAAATACATATCACCTAGGTGCATAATATATCACCTAGGTATAATAATAATAATACCAACCTTACTGCCATAGAGCTTTGTAAGTGCTTAAGAAGTGATTTTTCGAATCTACATCTCCTTGGATATTCATAAAAAGCCCTCTAAGGTAATCAGGGC